TTTTTATTTTTTAATTTATTGTAGAGATGAGGTCTCGCTGCCCAGGCGGGTCTCGAACCCGTGGGCTCAGGCAATCCGCTCACCTCAGCCTCCCAAAGGCGCGGGATTACAGGCTGAGCCACTGAGCCTGGCTGTGCAGATCTTTAACTGCAAGCCACTAAGTGTTGGTGACTACTATTAATAAACCCGACACTGTGGCTGAGCAGTGCCCTTGGATTAGTGGCAGCACCAGTGCATTTGAGCTAAACCCAGTAGTTCTTGTACAAAAGCTGAAATGAAGACAGAAGTACTGACTAGGCCGTTCGCTGGAAGACAAGACAGAGCACCTGCCGCCAGTGGACCCTGCAAGGAGAACTCAAAGTTCTCACAGTTTAATGTCAGACAGGGATGGAGGGTAAAGGAAGAGGGGTTCCCTTCCCTTCAGGCACCTGCAAAGCTGAGCAGAGGTTCCATGGTCTCAGAATCTGCTCGGGTTAAGCTTACTGCGGGCACCAGATTCCTTGAGAGGCCATGAACCCATGGTGACTCCAAAGGAAAGGTACTAGGTATTTCCCTTCTAAGTAGGAAAACAACTCCTAGCATCCTTCCTTTCTGCCCTCCCCAGTCATCCTGGACTTGTCCATACCTGAGATCCCCACCTCTGCCACCAAGAGATCATCGCTGGAGGCCGAGTTTTCAGCAAGACGCTTGAACTCATCCTGCTTCTCACCGTAGGGGTACTGGGTGTCGAACTTCACCAGGACGAACTTGCTTTTAGGAATGACCTGAGGGCGTATAGAGCTGAGCAAGCAAGGTTCCAGGGACCTTTAGGTGTAATCCCCCTTCCCAAGGGGCCCCTGTTTAAGAAACAGAATGGAAACAAGCCCACAAGGGAGACAAGCTCTCATAAACTGATATGCATTCTTTCACCCACTGATTCATTTAACAATTTAGTGAGTGCCTGCTATGTGGCTGCCACTCTACCAGGTACTTGTTCACACTAATCAAAGATAAACACAACCCCATCCACAATAAGCAAAGCTGTAGATATACGAAGACCTCCACCAGTATTCCTTTTTTTTTTTTAAGAGTCAGTCTCACTCTGTCACCCAGGCTGGAGTGCAGTGGCATGCTCACAGCTCACTGCAGCCTCGACCTCCTGAGCTCAGGTGATCCTTCTGCCTCCGCCTCCCAAGTAGCCAAGACTATAGGTGTGTGCCACCACACTAAGCTTAATCTGTTGTAGAGACAAAGCCTCGCTATGTTGCCTAGGCTCAGTATTCCATTCAGTGTGGTTAAGGAGACCCTAAGCATACCACATTGGCCCTGTTATGCTCATCATCCTAGGAGGACTTTCTCAGTAAACACTTAACCAGAAATCTGACAAAAACAAAACCATCTACAAAGGAGTTGGCACCATGGAGGGCGCTGAGGCTAGAAAGGCCAGAGTTTGAAGCTGGCAATTTCAGGGCAGATAGGAAGTTGGTAAGAGACCAGGCTTGGGACAGTGTCCTCTCCCCTCTAGCCAGTTCCCTTTGGCTAGATCTCTGGGTCTTAAACAGTCAGGGACAAGACTTTTGTCTTAATTACAGTAAAATACACATAATATTCACCATTTAAACAATTTTATTTATTTGTTTGTTTGTTTATTTATATTAGTTGGAGTCTCACTGTATTGCCCAGGCTGGAGTACAAGTGGCACCCTCACGGCCACCGCAGCCTCAACCTGCTGGGCTCAGGCGATCCCTTTGCCTCAGCTTTCCAAGTAGCTGGACCTACAGGCATGCGCCACCATGCCGCTGATTTTATTTATTGTAGAGATGAGGTTTTGCCATGTTGTTCAGGCTGGTCTTGAACCTCTGAGCTCAGGTATTCCTCTAGACTCCACCTCCCAAAGTGCCAGGATTAGAGGTGTAAGCCACCGCACCGGCTTCATTTTAATCATTTTAAAGTGTACATTCAGTGCATTAAGATGTTGTACAAGCTGGGCTCGGTGGTTCAGCCTGTAATCCCATGCTTTGGGAGGCTGAGATGAGTGGGATTGCCTGAGCCTGCGGGTTCGAGACCCGCCTGGGCAACCTGGCGAGACCTCATCTCTATAAGAAATAAAAAATTAGCCAGGCGTGGTAGTGCACGCCTGTAGTTCCAGCTATTTGGAAGGCTAAGGGGGAAGGATCGCCGGAGCCCAGCAGGTCAAGGCTGCGGTGGCCGGGAGGAGCCACTGCACTCCAGTCTAGGCGACAGAGTAAGACTCCAACTCAAAAAAAAAAAAAAATTGTTGTGCAACTGTCACTACTGTCTGATGCCAGAACATTTTCATCATCCCCAAAGGAAATCCTGGACCCATTCCTCTTTTTCAACACTCTTTCTCACAGTCCCAGCAACTAGAGATCTACTTTCTGTCTCTATGTTTGTCTATTCTGATGGAACCATATAATACGTGGTCTTTTGAGTCAGGCTTCTTTCACTTAGCACAATTTTTCCAAGGCTTATCCGTGTTGTAACACATATCAGCACCTCATTCCTTTTTTACAGTCAAATAAATATTCTGTTGTATGGATAGACTGTTTTATTTACCCATTCATTAGATGGTTAACATTTGGGTTGTTTCCACCTTATGGCTACTACAAATAGTGCTGCTATGAACAGTCATATACTTTTTGTTTGAACCCCTGTATTCAATTCTTTTGGGTATATACATAAAGGTAGAACTGTGGGGACCAAATGCTTAGTCTATGTTTAACTTAGACTTAACTGAGGAACCCAAGGACTTCCTCTTTTTTTGAGCCAGGGTCTTAGTCTATTGCCCAAACTGGAGTGCAGTGGCATGACACAGTTTATTGCAGCCTCCAACTCCTGGGCTCTAATGATCTTCCTGTGTCAGCCTTCCAAGTGTCTGGGTCTACAGGTATGCACCACCATACCCAACTAATTTTTCTTTTTTTTTTGTAGAGAGGAGGTCTTGCTATGTTGCCCAGGGAACTCCTGGGCCCAAGCAATCCTCCTGTCTCCACCTCTGCCTCCCACAGTGGTGTGAGCCACTGTGTCCAGCAGGACTTCCTTTTGATGGTTTCTCCCAGTGTACAAATTTTACCTTAAAAGCTGGCTTTAGAGTCAATAATACTGCCTTCCTCTCCTCCCTCAACTTTTTTTTTCCTAATCCAGTGATTGCCACCAAGTTTTTTCATCTCTGGCAATCACTGTCAATAATCATTTCCAGCTGACAGCAAAGAAATTTAATGTTTTTGTTAGCCTTTGTCTTTTACTGTGTACTGATATCCATTTGGCTTTAGGTTTTTAAAAAATCTTTAATGCTGCCTACGAACACAAAAGAGAGAGGAAAAACACCAGAAGAGGTCATTTTTAGATACCAAAAAGTCTGAGCTCTGGGGGCCTAAAAGCAGGGAAGACTTAAAATATAAATCAGATCACATCCCTCTGGTCCAACTGGCCTTATTTCAGTTCAACATATTACATTTATTCCCACTCAGCGCTCTTGCATTTGCTCTCTGTTTGCTGGAAGGCCTTTTCCCTGGTTCTTTCCATGCCATTTCTTTATCATCCAAGGCTCGGTTCAAGTGTCCCTTCCTAATAAGGACCCTCCAATCAGATGTATCATTATTCTGCTGTCCTTTCTTCATTGTATTAATCACACTCTGAAATCCTTATTGGCTTGTTTTCTGTCCTCTGCACCAGAAAGTACATTTATGAGAATAAGGACCTTGTCTGACCTGTTTTCTGCTGTATCCCTAGAGCCCAACAGTGCCTGGCATGGCAGATACTCTGAAACCACATGCAAATGAACAATACTTCGACAGGCTTTAGTAGCAGATGCTATATCTCCAGGGGAAAAAAATGTTTAAAAAGCACAACACAGGATACCTATCTTCAAGGGGCCTACACTTGTATTATGGAATAATATCAATAATCATACAGTAGTCTAACATCCAAATAGAATGGAAGGACTTCCCCCTTTTACATTCACTATTCTTAGCTACCAGGGTAAGGCAGAATGATTCTGAATGGCAAACATTTGCATAAATAATTTTTTTCTTGTTCTGTTACTCAGTTCGTATCTCTTAATAATAGCTTTAGAAATCTTAGCCGGGCTCGGTGACCCAGCCTGTAATCCCGCGCTTTGGGAGGATGTGGTGAGTGGATTGCCTGAGCCTGCGGGTTCGAGACCTGCCTGGGCAAGTTGGCATGACCTCATCTCTACAATAAATACAAAAAATCAGCCGGGCATGGTAGCGCATGCCTGTAATTTCGGCTACTTGGAAGGCTGAGGTTGAAGGATCGCCAGAGCCCAGCAGGCTGAGGCTGCGGTGGCCGAGAGCGGCCACTGCACTTCAGTCCGGGCAACAGAGTAAGACTCCAACTCAAAAAAAAAAAAAAAGAAAAGAAAAGAAAAAAGAAATCTCTCTCCTTGCTGGGCTCGCTGGCTCAGCCTGTAATCCCAGCACGTCGGGAGTCCTGGCGAGACCTCAACTCTACGGAAAAAAAAAAAGGAGGAATCTCTCTCCTCACCCACTTCCTGCCAGCCCTCAATGTCCAGTGATTAGGAATCAGCTCTACTATTACCTACAATCAGGCAACGTGCTTCTTCAAAGTATGGATGAATTCATTACTTATTCATTTTTCACTGAGTAAAATATAACTAAGGGCCTATCATGTGCCAGGCACCATTTTAAGAGAACACAGCAGGGGGCAAAATAGGGTCTCTTATCTCATGGAGCTAACATTCTAGTGACAACAAAGGGCAAGAAACAACAACAAAAAAGAAGCTGGAAAGCATAGAACGAGGCTGCTGGACAAAACACCAGTAAACTCCCCTTTTGTTCAATGGTAATGGAGGATAGTGAGATTTAGAAAAAAAGTGGAGAAAACAATCAAGCAACAAATTATTTATTAAGTACTTTCTATGACACAGGTAACCTGTTAGCTGTGTAGATGATCAGCAACAAAATAGACAAGGTGCTTTTTCACAAGCATATAATATTTCAGTGTGAGAGAACGACAGTAAAATAAACAAGATAAAAATCAGTGATGAGTGCTCTATAGAGAAATAAAACAGGGTAATGTGACTGTCACTTAAGACTGGGGGGAAGAGAAATCAAGGAAGAATTTGGGGAGGTTAACATTTAATCTAAGCCGGAATGATGAGAAGTAATTAGCCTTTCAAAGTCTGGGCAAAGAATATTTGAGTCATCAAGGAACAGCTACTGCAAACACCTGGAGGCAGTAATGAGCTAGGAATATTCAAAGGACAGAGGAGAATGATTAGGAGATGAGGAAAGCAATGTGTCAGATCATCCAGGGCTTAGGCTACTGTGTGGAGGCTCAAGAGTGACAGCAGGAGACCAGAAGGAGACCACTGTAATGTTAACCTAGACCAGGGTGATGACGGTAGAAAATACTGTTAACTTGATGTTGCAGTTTCCCTTCCAGTCACACTTAGTCTATGATGACCCAACTCCCATGGAGCAGATGGGGTGTGCCTGACAACCAAACAGGCCCTACCTATACTGTTGCCCAGGCTGGAGTGCAGTGGCACAATCAAGGCTCACCACAGTCTTGACCGCCTCAGGCAATCCTTCCACCTCAGCTTCCCAAGTAGCAGGGACTACAGGCACCTGTCACCATACCTGGCTAATTTTTTATTTTTTTAGAGACTGGGTGTCACTATGTTGCCCAGGCTGGTCTTGAACTCCTGGGCTCAAGCAATCCTCCTGCCTTGGCTTCCCAAAGTGCTGGGATTTCAGGCATGTGCCACTGCACCCAACCTACACGTTCCTCAACTTCTTGAAACTTTACCTTGAATGAGCTACAAGCGCCAAGTCCAAGACAGGGAACACTAAAAATGAAAAAGACGCCAACCACTCCACACAGATTTGGAGCTCCACTTCTTGGTTTCACTTCCTCGCAATGGGTACTAAAAAGAACTTGAAACGACAGGCTCTCTCCTAACCCTCAGCTTGTCCATCTCTTAAAGGAAGTTCAAAGCTGCTACTGGGTGAAGACAGGTGCAAGAGGAGGGGATTTGGGGTGAGGTGTTGCATTCGGCCTTCAACATTTCCAACCGTTCATTTACCCAGGTCAGCATCCCAAGTTCTGTAAAAATCGGCGGCGTGGGGGCGGAGGGTAGTGGCGAAATTTCCCTACAAGGTGCTGAACCAAAGCTTATCCTTAACGCTTGCACTTTTCAAGGAGAAGCCTGACATCTAATCATTGTTTGCAAAGCAGGCTGCAATCCACCCCCAGGGAAGAGGGGAGCATAAATGCAGGCTAGTACGCCGAGTTCTCCCCGCACCGCTCTCCTTACTACAGCCCGGCGCTGGGTGGCGTCGACCTCGCACCGCCCTCCGATTCTTCCACTTGGGACTCGAGGGTTGGATTTCCCCCCGGCACCGCCCTGTCCTTATAGGCGAAGGGAAGGGCCACCCAGTTTCCTCGGCTGCATCTTTGCAAGGGAGGAAGCAAGTATAAATGCTGAAAAGGCAAGGGTCCCTCGAACCCTGAGCGTGTCTGCCCCGTGGTCCTAACATGACCCTGGCCTAGAGTCCACCAGGCCTACCGGATAGTGGGATGCCCGGGACCGTCGCTACAGACCACATCCCGCCAGCCCTAGGCGTCCAGCGCCCTGCTACGGGCGCGCGTTCCTTGGACGCCTCGGCGGCACCTGCGCGCCATGTCCCCCGCCATCGTTACCTTGTAGAAAGTGACTGTATCCAGGGGAAGGGCGCCCTTTGTGTGCAGGCCGCTGCCGCCATGCGGAGCGGAGAGGAGCAGGAAGCCCAAGAGAAGGGGAAGCAGCGGAGAGTGAGAGGTGGCGCGGAACACGGCGGCAGCCATAACGCCAGGTTCCGCGAGGGGGAGGTAGGAGAGCGGTAGTGTAGAGAGCACGGAGTCAGGGTCACGTGATAGGAGGGCGGGCTCGCGCGCGTCCACGTGGCCCCCCCTGGGAGGCCCACGCAGGTCTACGGTGAGAGGAAGAGGCCGGGTGAGGGGCGGGGAGATGAAGTTGCCGCACACGCGCACTCGGCGAAGCTAGCGCAGGCCCAGGGTGAGAGGGCGGGGCCACGTTAGGGTGCGGGGCGGGAGCGATGGGACTGCCGCGCTTGCGCACTCGGAGAGACGCGCGGCGGGTCGGCCCAGTTCCCAGCGCCCTCCGCGTGAGTAGAGGCGCGAAGCGCGTGCGCAGTGTGGCTCCCGCGGTTTCTTTGCAGTCCTTCCTCCTTTGCGAAGATGTCGGGGGCTGCCGTGGTTTCTTCCTGCCTTTGGTCCGTCAGGCATTCGGTTGGGGTCGCTAGCATCCTCGGTCAAGCCCAGCCGTTGTCCTCTTCGACTCAGACTCCCCTTCGCCAAGCAGTCGGTTGTTCCACTGTTCACTGGGCTGTCAGACTGCGCCACCAGTATGGTCAGGGCCCAGTCAGGCCTGCTCCGAGGTGAGAGCCTCCTTTGGGAGGCTCCGGGCTCCCGGAAAATCAGGCCTTCCTGAAAACCGGCTGTCTGCCCAGCTGTGTCCTAAACTCCAGGAAGACTAAGAAAAAAAAAAAAAGTGTAAGAATTCTTTTCAGCGGGTATTTGTGCAGCGCCTAGTTTATGCCAGATGCACCGCCTGCGAGGATACAGCATAGAGATAAACAAGACATAGTTCTGTGCTGGAAGGATTCAGTATTGGGGGAGGGGGAAGACAGAAATGACAGAACCAGTACACTGTGACTGTTACAAAGTCAGACTGTTAGACTACTGTGAAAACACAAATGGAAACGCAGCCATTCCTGCTCTGGAGTGTCAGAGAAAGTTATAGACAGAAGATGGCTTGTTAACTGGATCTTTTTCTTTTTTTTAAGGAATCATTTACTGGATTTGATTTTTGAGTCGAGGTGTTACTCTGTCACTCAGGCTGAAGTGCAGTGGTGCAATCCCAGATCACCGCAGCCTCGATTTCCTGGGCTCAGGCGATCCTTCTGCCTCAGCCTCCAGAGTAGCAGGGACAACAGGCGTGCACAGCCACGCCTGGCTAATTTTATTTTATTTTATTTGTAGAGACAAGATCTCGTTATGCTGCCTAGGCCGGTCTCAAACTCCTGGGCTCAAGCAATCCTCCCGTCTCGGCCTCCCAGAGTGCTGAGATTATAGGCGCGAGAGACACCCTGCCTGGCCTTGAGCTGGATCTTAAAAAAAGGAGACGAGCAACCCTCTCGAGTCTTTTCCCACTCTGGGAGCTTTTCTGTCCTTTCAATAAATTTTGCTTTTCTAAAAAAAAAAAGCAGGTGGCACAGGAGGCAAAGGGAGACAATATTTATGGCAATGGGGAAATGATACACAGACAAGTTGGGGAACTGGTTGAGATGAATTTGTATAGAGGTAAACTGGAGCAAATTAAAAAGGGTCTCATCCAGTTAAAGGATTTGGAGTTCTCCAGAGGTTTTTAACCAGGAGAGTGATGTCAGATTTGTGTGTGAAAATATCACATAGGAAAGAAAGGGGTTGAAAGGGAGAAGGCTTGCTAGGTGCAGTGGCTCACATCTGTAATCCCAGCACTTAGTGAGGCCCAGGCAGGAGCATTGCTTGAGCCCAGGAGTTCGAGCCTAGCCTGAGCAACATAGCAAGACCTCCTTTCCACAAAACAAAAAAAATTAGCTGGACATGGTGGCTCACACCTGTTGTCCCAGCACTTTGGAAGGCTGAGATGAGACGATTGCCTGAGCCAAGGAGTTTGAGATCAGCCTGGGCAATATAGCAAGACTTCTTCTCTACAAAAATACCAGAAAATTATCTGGGCATGGTAGAGGCTGAGGCAGAAGGATCACCTAAGCCCAAGAGGTTGGCAGTGGTAAGCCATGGTCATGCTATTGTACTCCAGCCTAGGTGATACATTCTGACTCAAAAAACAAAACAATAAACAAAGGGCCAGGTGCAGTGGCTCAGCCTATAATCCAGCACTTTGGGAGGTCGAAGTGAGAGGCCTGCCTGAGCCCACAAGTTCAAGACCAGCCTGGGCAACTTGGCAAGACCTCATCTCTACAATAAATTAAAAAAAAATTAAGCCGAACTCGGTGGCTCAGCCTGTAATCCCACGCCTTTGGGAGGCTGAGGTGAGTGGATTGCCTGAGCCCGCGGGCTCGAGACCCGCCTGGGCAGCAAGACCTCATCTCTACAATAAATCAAAAAATCAGCCGGGCGTGGTAGTGCGCTCCTGTAATTCCGGCTATTTGGAAGGCTGAGGCGGAAGGATCACCAGAGCCCAGCAGGTCAAGGCTGCGGTGGCCGGGAGCGGCCACTGCACTCCAGTCTGGGAGACAGAGTGAGACTCCAACTAAAAAAAAAAAAAAAAAATGTAGCCGGGTGTGGTGGTGCATGCCTGTGGTTCCACCTACTTGGAAGGCTGAAGCAGAAGAATCCCCTGTGCCCAGCAGGTCAAGGCTGCCGTGGTGCACTGCATTCCAGTCTGAGCAATGGAATGAGACTCCAACTGAAAAAAAAAAAAGAAAGGCTGTGATTTGTGGAAATAGAGTTAAGCTTTGGAAGGAAGAGCATTTTAAATGGAGAACAAGTGAAAAAGGAGCAGTTATGGGAATGATCATGATGCTTAAGAGGAGTGACTGACTGGAAGGAGATCTCAAAGCAGTACATCGTAAGGTAGTTTTAAGCCCCAGTAGGAGAGAGTCTTGAAAGTCAAACTAAAGATTTTGTATTTTGTTTTATTGTCAATATGGAGCTAGTAAGAATTTTTAAAACTCTTTATAAAACATTTAAACTATTAAAATTATTCACTTCTGAGTATATGAATACTTTGGGTACCTGTAGTTAGTGTAATTGATCATCAGTGACTTTCTAGTCATGGTTGTTTTTAAGCAGGTTTGAAAGAAGTTAAGGAAGTGGATTGGTTGGAGAGGGAAAGGAAACATTGGCGCATTTGCTATGAATTGCAAAGGTAATTGTCTAAATGTTTCATTTGAGTATCGCCCCAGCCCTAGTCAGTTGTCTTAAGATGACTGGATTCTTGACTTAAGGACCCTGACAGTGATCTATAAAAATAAATAAGATATATGGGTCTGACATATTTTGGAAGTCATAAAATCCCACATTTGACACTGATGTGGAAAATCAAAAGACTCACCCTGGGTATTGGAAGCAAAGCGCGGGAGCATGTTAAGTGAGTGTCTACATGGCTTAGTGTAGCAACTGGAGTGAAAGCAAGAAAAGGGACTTGGAGACAATTAGTATATAAACTAACATCATCAAGCCAGTGAGGCCCCAGTTTTACTGACCTTTTTGCTAATCCTGGTACACACAATTTATGTTCCTGCCTCAAGACCTTTTACTCTCTCCCCCTAGAACACTTTTCTTCAAGATATCTACATGTTTGCCTTCCCTCAAATTTCAACCTCCTAGTAAGGCCTATCCTGACCGTGCTTTTCAAAAACTCCTCCATGCCGGGCTCGGTGGCTCAGCCTGTAATCCCACGCCTTTGGGAGACTGAGGTGAGTGGATTGCCTGAGCCCGCGGGTTCGAGACCCGCCTGGGCAGGCGAGACCTCATCTCTACAATAAATCAAAAAAATTAGCCGGGCGTGGTGGCGCGCACCTGTAATTCCAGCTACTCGGAAGGCTGAGGCGGTATGATTGCCGGAGCCCAGCAGGTTGAGGCTGCGGTGGCCGGGAGCAGCCACTGCACTCCAGTCTGGGTAACAGAGTGAGACTCCAACTCAAAAACAAAACAAAACAAAAAAACTCCTCCATGATACTGTTCTGCTTTCCATCTCTCTTCCCACTGCTATTTTTTTCTTCATAGTACTTTTCTAATTTACAGTATGCCATGTAATTTGCTTCTTCGTATCTCATGAGGGCTAGATTTTTTTGGTCTGTTTTGTTTACTACTATATGTCACAAAACTGAGAACAGTGTCTGACACATGATGGGTGCACAGTAAATATTTGTTCAATGACTAAATCAAGTCAGTGAGGAGAAACTATTCCATGGGTATCTCTCAGAATTCTTTTGGCTCTTTCTAATCCTCTCCTTAGACCACATGGGAGGAAACTTCAAAAAGTTCATGGAAAATTTTAATTAAAAGTTAAAAATAAAAATATAAACTTTGTTTCTCAATAAAAGATCCATCAGTTTGAAACATTTTTGTAAGTGATAATATCAGCCATGTAGTTCATCCCTAAAGAACTGGGAATTTAACCACGTCAATGCAGTCTTTTATAAAAAAAATTATCTATTTATTTTTGAGTTGGAGTCTTCCTCTGTTGTCTAGGCTGGAGTGCAGTGGCACAATCACAGCTACCACAGCCTCGACCTGCTGAGCTCAGGCAATCCTTTTATCTCAGCCTTCCAAATAGCTGAGATTATAGGTGCATGCTACCATACCCGGCTAATTTTTTGACTTACTGTGGAGATGAGGTCTCCCGCTGTTGCCCAGGCTGGTCTCTAACTCCTGGGTTCAGGCAGTCCTCTTGCCTTGCTTTCCAAAATGCTGGGATTACTGACTTGAACCACTGCTCCCAGCCTTTTTTTTTTTTTTTACATTAACTGAAGAAAAATGGGTGCCTTTTACAGATGTTTTAGGATTAGGAAACAAGGCTGGGTGTGGTGGCTCACACCTATAATCCTAACACTTTGAAGGCCGAAACTGGAGGATTGACTGAGCCCCAGGAGCTTGAGACCAGCCTAGGCAACATAGCGATTCCTCATCTCTACCAAAAAAAAATAATCAGGTGTGGAGTTGTGCAACTGCAGTGTCAGCTACTCGGTATGCTGAGGCGGAAGGATTGCTCTGAGTCCAGGAGGCAGGAGGTCGAGGCTGCAGTGAACCATGATCATGCCACGATGTGGATTTTCTGCCACTGCAGGCTTCGTCTTCAACATCACCTCATCCCTTCTTAAAACGAGTTATCCATTTGTAAACTGTTAATTTCTTTGAGCCATTGTCTCTATAAACTTTTTATAAGGCATCAGTGATTTCACTGTTCTTCCACCAAGCTTCACCTTATATAAATGTGATGTTTGTTCTTGTTTCAATTTTAGTAGAATTCATGTTACTCTGTAGGGGCTGTTTTCAAACTGTCTTATCCTTAGTACTAGTACCTAAAACTAGATCCTGTTCAGACATGTTATAACAACTTAGTACAAGTTTATTTTGGTGCAAAAAACGTTGAACTCGTGTAATTTTTTAATAATACACATTTTCCATGAACTTTTTGAAGACTCCTCATATTTCTGTTTGGAGAGTTCCCAAGGTTTTGTTGACTTTTTTTTTTTTTTTGAGTTGGAGTCTCACTCTGTCACCCAGACTGGAGTGCAGTGG